GACAGAGTTACGCACCCACAAAGTGCACAAACCTACTACAGACTGGACAGAGTTACGCACCCACAAAGTGCACAAACCTACTACAGACTGGACAGTTACGCACCCACAAAGTGCACAAACCTACTACAGACTGGACAGAGTTACGCACCCACAAAGTGCACAAAACTACTACAGACTGGACAGAGTTACGCACCCACAAAGTGCATATGTGCGTGAAGATAAGTGTAACCGACACTTTGCTAGGGTGCCGGTAGTGCAGTGGTACAACCCTTTGGCAAGTCAATGCTTAAAGCTCTGAATTAGTTCCCATCTCTTAATTAAAAGCAAAATTAACAAAACCTACCAAAAGCTTAGTGGACAAAGAAGTGGATCACAGCACTATTTATAAGAGTGAAAACTAGGAAGAACCTGAAGTTTTAAGTAGCTGGATACACAAATGCGATATACTGCAGCCCCTATAATGCTGCTTCAATGTTTTAATAGTCCACACTCAGGGTCCACATCAACATAATGAAGTGCTCTGGGATTCTCATTCTTCATAAGATTATAATTGGTTATGACCCACGTAGTCAAAAGCTTTTACACAGTCAATAAAACATAGAAAATATATCTCCACTTTCAGCCAAGGTCCATCTGAGATGAGCAATGAATGAATCCTCATCCTACATCCTCTTCTGAATAGCGCCTGTATTTCTGGCAGTTCTCAGTTGATAGCCGGCTGCAACTATTTTTCAATTGTCTTCAGTAAAATTTTACTTGAATGGGCACATTTTTAGATCTGTTTCCAATAGGTTAGCCAAGTAGCTGTCTAATAATATTCTGGGCATCACATCCATTTGTTGAAGAATTTCCACTGTTATTCCTTCTATTCCTGGAATTTTTGTCACCAGTACTTTCAGTGCAGCTTGGACTTCGTCTCTCAGTACTGTCTGCTCTTGATCATATGCTACATGAAATGGTTGAAAGTCAACCAATTATTTTTCACACAGTGACGCGTTCCTGCTATCTTCTTTTGATGCTTCATCTTTCGCCCATATATCCTTCAGTAGTGTAGCTCAAGATTTGACATTTTTCTTCACTTCTTTCAGACTGGGCGATGTCGAGCAGGTTCTTCCATTTTGTTTTTCAACTCCAAGTGGCTGCATATTTTCGCTGTAATACCTTATCTCCTGGAGCTACCCCTCGGAATCTTCTGCTCAGTTCTTTTACCGCCTCACTTCTTCAGGTCACTTTAGCTACTCTACCTCCAAAAGCAAATTTCAGCCTCTTCTAATACTCACTTTTGTTCTTTCTTTTTGTCTTTTTAGCGCCCCTTTGCTTTCCTCATTCACGATATCTTACTGCACAACTTGACTGGTCTTCGGTCACGAGTGTTCAATGCATCAAATGTATTCTTCAGATGGTCTCAAACTCAGGAGAGAGAGACTCAAGGTAGTACTTTGGCTTCTGTGAACTTGTTTTAATTTTCTTCAGCTTCAACATGAGCTTACAAACAAGTGACTGATGGTCTGTTCTGCTCCTGGCCTTGTCTCACTGCTGTTACGGAGCGTCCCCATCACCTCTTCTCTAGTAGGACTTGAAATTACTGGTATAGAGGTGCCGTACCAACACCAAGGGGAGTGATGGGGGAAGGCTTACTAACACAAAGTGACACATAACTCACTGTGCCCCAGGGCGCCTAATAGTCATCACACACGTGATCTCAGTTCCAGGGCTCTCTTCCGACCACAACACTGGAAAAATTCAAATGCACTAAAACTCTAGACCAGTCATTTCAAGCTGCACGTGTGAAAGTCCTGAGGTTTGGTGAAAACTCCTTGGGGGCCAGTGTGGGAGGTGGGGAACAAAGGGGAGGAGAGAGCAGGTGAGGGCTCCCCTTATTCACACAGGATAGCTCCACTGAGATCCACCTTCACACTCTAAGGTGCTGCCCAAGAGTTCTTTTGCTCTTCAAGTACAGTATTCCACTAAGTCACTGAAACAATAAACCTGATTTGATGACCTTCAGAGTCTACCCTGATAATTGGGAAACTTTAAACAGGGAAATTCCAATTTAGACTGACAGACTGCAATGTGCAGAGAGGGAGGAATTTGGCATCAGCCAATTCTGGGCTTATTTTTCAGTTCCAATCATGCTGCCTTCACACCTGTGAATTCAACTCATGATTTAGGTTTCTCGTTTTGGGACGGGACAATAATTCCGACACTATGACGTTATTATGTGCCTAGGAAATAACACAGGAAAAGCACCTCGCATGTAGCCTACCTGTTCTTATAATTGTCACCAACCAGAGGCAAAAACCTTCACAAACACGAGTTACTTACGTTCTTTTTCAAACAGCTCTCTAACACCAGGCAAATCTTTTGCTGCTCCAAAGTATTTGTAACCTCGATTTCCCGGAACTTCTTTCCCTTCATGATCCAGCATTTTAGGACCAACTTTCTTATTGGAGGGAAAAAGAGAACATGAATCTGATATTTACACCCACTACTCCATGTTTATAAATATTTATTACAGTAAAAATACTAACTGTGGAAAATACGTATGTTCAGAGGTTATTACACATTGTTTCTCTTTAAACAAAACCAGCCAGCCACGTCTCTAACATGGTTACTGTCCTGGTGGTTCTGACTCACAGTGACTCAGTGCAGAACAGAACCCTGCCTGTGCTGGGCCACTCTCCCCAGGGGTGCTATGTTCGCCAGTAAGGGGTAAGCTAAGTCAACTACAGCACAACCCCTTACCGAACAGGACAGGAAGTGAAAAGCAATTGCCACTAACACCAGGTCACACATTACACGTTCATTCCACGCAAACCATGTTTACCATGTCTTTGGGATCGGTGGATGCCAGTCGACAACTTCACTCAGGAATGCACCTCTCCTAGGCTTGTTAGGGGACTCAGAAGGGGTGTTCTACGCCTGTAAAGAGTTACAGTCCCGGACACCCACAGGGGAAGGTCCTGTAGGCTTACGATGAATCAGCATCAGCTTGATGGTGGTGAGTTTGGAGTCTTTTTAGGGTGATTTCAAACAACAGGTCCAATCCCAAATTGTAGTTTCCAAGAGGAATCCAATGAGCCAGTTAAATTCATGGCAAAGAGGTCGATTCAGAAGGTTATTATGGGTGGTTTGGGGGAATCCAAAGGGGTGACCTTGATAGGTATTCTTGAAGGACACAGGAGAATCATGGGGACTTATTAGAAGTTTTTTTAAAAAATTAAAAACTTGTATAGATGTGCTTTACACAATTGATCTATGTATTGTGATGAATTGTATGAGCCCCAATAAATTGATTTAAAAAAATTTAAAACTACATTGGTGAGTAAAAAATGTAAGAAGTTGTACCAAGAGATTTATTTTCCATCCTGACAATACACCTGCTCATTCAAGCTATCAAGGGCTGTCCTATGAGAATTTCCATGGGAAACATTACCTCACCTATATTACAGCCTCTTCAGACTTCCTTTGGTTCTCAATTCAAAGAACATTTAAATGGAACATGATTTGAGTCCCTCAAAGGTGTCAAAACTGTCATTTTGACACAGTATAAATTGAGGAGCTCAAAATTCTCTGGGGGAGAGTTAAAATGGAAACACCACTTCAGCAGCATACGAACCTACATGGAAGCTATGTTGCGGGAGGTGAGGGGAGCTTCCCATTTTGATATTTTTGTTCAACAAGGGTTTCTATTATTTTACAGCAATACTTTTTTACGTATCCTCATATATTCTATATTTTATGAATGATAGTTCTTACGAAACTCTTAAATAAGCTGACACAAGCTTAAGAAAAAATTACCAACAACCTAAATTAGAGTCACAGACAAATGAAATACATCCATAAGAGGTATTCTTAAAAAAAAAAAAAAAGGTATTCTATCCATTATAAATAATACCAACAACTAAAAGTAGCACGTGTTCCAATTAAAATAGCCGGGGAGAAAAAAATACTACAAGAATCAAAATTTTAAAGAAAAACAATGTGCAATGAATGTACAAATGTGCTTTACACAATTGATGTATGCATGGATTGTGATAAAAAAAAATAAGAAAGAAATATCCATATTGTATCAAGTAGAAAGATAATGTTTTCAAAATGATGATGGCAACATATGCACAAGTTTGCTCGATATAATTGATTTATGGATTGTTTTAACATTTATAAGAGCCCCCGATAAAATGATTTTTTTTCATTGGAAAAAAGAAAAACAAGTCCACTGTTGTGGAGTCGAGTTGATAAAAATTACTGGAAAAAAGTTAAAGTTCTTAAAGTTTGATGACTTATCAAGGGTATATAGAAAAAATTCTTCTTTGTAGATAATGTACACAGAGGTATTAAGGAATAAAGGAACATGATGTATTCAATCTATTCAAGAGGTTTAAAAAAAACTCAAGGTACCCACAGAAAATGATCAAGCCAGTACAGCAAAATATCAAAAACTTGTAATTCTACATAAAGATTTACAGAAGTTCTAGGTCCTACTTATGAGTTCAAAAGCTTTTAATTTTTTCTTAAAGGCTTTTTTTAATGAAATGACTACTGATAGGAAATTTTTTTCTTGATTGCTAACATGAAAACTGCTAGGTAAATGGAGAACATACGCCTATGAGCTAATTTCTGTAAGAAGAAAACATGCACAGAAAAATGTCTATAAAGATACAATATAATCACAATGATTGCTCTGAAAATAAATTTGAAAATGGAACCAAAAAGCAGAGGCCAAGCATGAGCTGAACTACAGGAAAGCATTCAGAGGAAAACAATGGCAATAATAACCAGCTGAGGCCCACCAGGGAGACCCAGAAAGAACGACAAACAATAGAAGGAAGCATTCCAGGGCCTGTAAAGAGGAAATGAGATTATGGCTGAAACTTCTTCTGTTTCGTTATGCTTTTCTGAACTTTATAAATGGTCTACAGTGATACGGTATTGCTTTTATATTATACTTTGAAAATTTATTTTTTTTTATTTTTTTCATTTTATAAGGGGCTCATACAACTCATCACAATCCATACATACATCAATTGTGGAAAGCACATTTGGACATTCATTGCCCTCATCATTCTCAAAACATTTGCTCTCCACTTAAGCCCTGGCATTTGGTTCTTCTTTTTTCCCCTCTCTCCCCGCTCCCCTCTCCCTCATGAACCCTTGATAATTTATAAATTATTATTTTGTCATATCTTGCCCTGTCCGACGTCTCCCTTCACCCACTTTTCTGTTGTCCGTCCCCCAGGGAGGAGGTCACATGTAGATCCTTGTAATCAGTTTCCCCTTTTCAACCATCCTCCCTCTGCCCTCCCAGTATCGCCACTCACACCGCTGATCCTGAAGGGATCATCCACCCTGGATTCCCTGTGTTTCCAGCTCCTATCTGTACCAGTGTACATCCTCTAATCTAGCCAGATTTGCAAGGTAGAACTAGGATCATGATAGTGGGGAAGGAGGAAGCATTTAGGAACTAGAGGAAAGTTGTATGTTTCATCATTGCTACATCACACCCTGACAGGCTTGTCTCCTCCCTGAGACCCTTCTGCAAGGGGTTCTCCAGTGGCCTACTAATGGGCTTTGGGTCTCCACTCCGTACTCCCTCCCTCATTCACTATGATAAGATTTTTTGTTCTGATGATGCCTGGTACCTGATCCCTTCAACACCTGTGATCGCACAGGCTGGTGTGCTTCTTCCATGTGGACTTTGTTGCTTCTGAGCTAGTTGGCCGCTTGTTTACCTTCAAGCCTTTAAGACCCCCAGATCCTATATCTATTGATAGCCAGGCACTATCAGCTTTCTTTGCCGAAAATGAAAATTTTTTAAACCATTCAAACACAAATGGAGGAGAGCAGATTCCAGGCTTGAAGGCAAAGGCGGAGTTAGGTGGGGTGAAGTGGAACTGCAGTGCCTCGTGGCCGAACAGCAGGGGGCGCAGTCAAAGCACAGGTGCATCGTGTGTGTGGAGAAGCCAGGAAATGCCTAGACGCTCACTGAAAACTCTCTCTAGTTGTGTGGACCGCTTGCTTCATGAGGCCACCTCTGCCATCACCAGGAGGGCAGTAGGCATCTCTTTGGAGTATGACAGAAGCAGCCAAGGATTTGTTATTAAAACTGCCAGTGGGATAAGGGTGCCATTCATGGTCAAGTAGTACACAACAGGCAGTTGCCAGTCTTGGTGCTAAAAAGTAACAGATCAAATGTTCAAAAAGTGAAACTTACTTTGAATTCAGAAATTCCAGATTGTTATACATCAGTTATTCATTCATTTGAATTTCCCAAGTCTTAAAATAAATTAGAAAGGAAAATGTAAAGACATGAATAGTTTAGGTGGTAGAACTTAAGGATAGTTTACATGTTCATTTTCTAACGCTTTTGAGGTCCACTCCAGGAGGGTTATTAAACTCCACATTACTTTAAAGCAGTATGACAGTAAAAATAAATTTTAATCACAGAACCGCTTAAGAAGTTAAATGCAACAACCCTTGAGAAAGTTCCTACCAGAGTGCCTGAAACACAAGAGGTGCTCAATACAAGAGCAATGGAAAAATGAACCAGCAAGGACTAAAGTAAGAAAGCTGGTTTTTGTTAGACTGTCATAAAGGTAGAAAGACCAATGTGAAGCAAACCATTATGTGTTTCTTATAATGTCGGAGGGGTTTCAAAAAGTTCATGGAAGATGTAAATAAGGTATAGAGGAGTCCAACTCTGGGACTGGTCAGCTTTGCCATTCCACTGGGGAGAAGTGAGCCATTGCAGAACAAGGATAGAGAACCCTACAACCATCAAGAAAGACAAGTCACCAGCATAGCTGGTTGCAGCAGCAGAAGCACAAGAGGCCACAACACTGAGACTTTGAGACAAAGCAGCAGGCTTCTAACCCACAGAGCTAGTAAAACTGAGTGCCTTTGGACAGGAGCTTGGCTTATAGCGTGGGGTGCTTTCTGGCCATTATTAGAGACAAAGAAGCTTTGTAACACTTGCCAAAGGAGGACAGAGGCCAAGGGGCCAAGGGGCTGAGAGGCTTAGAGGCTTAAGACCAGAAAAAGATTTGTCTGCCAGTGTGGCTAAGAAGTGCAGCTGCAGACAAAAGGACAATGTGTATCCTTAATGTTTTTTATGCTGACTTATAACCTGGTAACTTCCCTAACAAGCCCCATAATGGTGCATGTTGTCCATGAGTTCTGTGTGGCCCATCATAGATTATGAAACCCAACAGAGAAGTACATTGTTGTGGGGAAATGGGTGGCATTAGAATAAGACAGAGAAGGTTGGACAGTGGAGGCCCATCTGACCTCTGCCTCATAGAAATGAATGATCCGTGGAAAGGTCTGGAGTGGGGCCTTTGTGTAACTGACAGAGGTCAGACATGGCACCTACACTATTTCCTCACGCCCCCTCATACTACTGCCCACTGGTTAGATAGCACTGGTTCCTAGGATCCGAGGTAAGTGAATGGGCTAGGTTCTAGAACACCTTGGAGATCAAACCCATTAGTAGGTCAAGAAATCAATTGAGTGGGTCATAATCATCATTTAAAAAATAAACAAACACCCAAAACAAACAAACAAACAAACAAACAAAAAATCCATATTGCTGAGAATGAGGGGAGTCGGAGCAGAGACCCCCAAGCCCCTGTATGGACAATGAGACATCCCCTCAGAGGGGTCACGGGGAAGGGATGAGTCAGCCAGGGCGCAGTATACACCAATGAACACAATATTCCTCTGGTTCTTGAGGTTTTCCCTGGCCCCCACTTTCATGACCCCAGTCCTGCCTTTCACTTCTGGTTAAATCGGAGCATGTGCACAGGTACCGGTAAGAGAGATGGGCTCACCACACACAGAACCCAGGAACAGGAATGGGAGTAGCGATATCAGAAGGGTAGGAGAAAGGTGGGGAGAGGGGGGGAGGAAAGGGAAACCGATCACAATAATTGACACATATCCACACACACACCCCAGGAGGGCAAACAACAGAAACCGTGGGAAACAGTGGTCAGTGTAAGATATGAAAATAATAATGTATAACCTATCAAGGGGTCACCAAGGCAGGGGAGGGGGGAAGAAGAGCTGATAGCAAGGGCTCAATAGAAAGTAACTGTCTAGCAAAGAATGATGGCGACATTATGTACAAATATGCCTGATGCACTTGATGTATGGATCGTTGAGTTGTAAGAGTCCCCAATAAAATGATCATTTAATTGAAAACCCAATAATAATAAAAATAAATAAAACACAGGGCAGAATGGAAAACATCAAACTATATCACACATAGCATTTTGTGTGTAATGGGTTGTGAGATAAAGCGTGTGTGTGATCTGCAATGGGTCAGGGTCCTAAAGGCTTAACAGCCACTGCTCCAGCTAGATAGAACTCAGCATTTTCGAGACTCCATAGAAGGGAACTCCCAGGTGAAGAAAACACTACGACTGCCTGGCTACGCCTAACTCCCAAGGAGCTCAGTTAAGGAGGATGTAAGAGCGCACTGAAGTATTGAGAGATTCGGTGGCTTACTCAAGAGCATCGGGTTAGTGGGCGTTTAGGCGTTAGTGGCATTTTCGGCAGCAGACTTTCCATGGGTTTCCCCTGTTCCCTGTCGGCGGGTGGCAGGCACTTTTCAAGCCCTGTCATGTCCTCAGTGCTCTCTGTGGCAGCTTTGGGTGAGGGGGTGCAGAGCCACAGGGATCTACTCAACCGGCGCAAAAGCTCACCAGCTCACAAACAAAATGCCCGGGGGCTGCGGCTCACTTACCCCATAATCAGGACCACCCAGTTCCTTTATCCGGACCTCCCAGTGTCCTTTTTCTCTCAGCAGTTTGTTGATTTCATCATTCAAGTCACGAATTCGGAATTCACCTAAACCAGCTACAAAACAAAAAACATTAATATCAATTCCACCAAATAATCCTCAATGAGATATTCACAAAGGCACACAACATAAAAATAATCACTCATGCGACTGAGCTATGGAATAATGCTATACGTATTAACTCCGAATTTAAAATAATTTTAAAATTTTAATTTTATATATATATATATACATATATATTCACTCAAATTTATAAGAAAAAACAAATCAGTGCCAAAATAAATGAGAAGGGCAAAAAATATGAACAGAGTACCCACTAGTGTTGGGAGAGAAAAAAAAAATCTCAATTCCCATTAGCAACTGAAGAACTATAAACTGGACAGATCCTACTGAATTCCCACTAAAAACAGCAAAGTCTTGATATAAACAAATAAAGCCCAAAGCCTAGCAGATGTCAGCAAATGCTGGTGGCAGCATTCTGTTGGGATCAGCCCTCCCGGAAAAGTTATAGACTTTCTTCAAGATTTCAACATAAACACGAAATCCACTGGGATTGTCATTACAATTCTATTTGAAGAGAGAAAGAACTGACACCTTCACGCTCCCGATCCACGAGCACAGTAATAGAGTCAGTCAAGGAGTATTGTTCCAGAAGATAAACAAACAAACACAAAAGCAAAAGATGCAGCTACTGTTTCTCTAGGAGCTCTGGTGTTATAGTGGTTATACATTAGGCTGCTACCTGCAAGGTCAGCAGTTTGAAACCACTAACTGCTCTGTAGGGGACAGGGCTTTCTACTCAGTAAAGAGTTACAGTCTTTACCCCTCTCCAGGAGGAAGAACAACAGAAACCATGGGGGGAGACAGTGGTCAGTGTGAGATATGAAAATAATAATAGTTTATAAACTATCAAGGGGTCACAAGGGTGGGGGGGGGGGGAACTGATACCAAGGGCTCAATAGAAAGTAACAGTCTAGAAAAGAATGATGGCGACTCTCTCCCAGCGGCTCCTACACACAGCTCAGCACAGCTGTGCCGAGGTGTGTGTGTCTATCTGTGGGTCTGTCTGACTCTCTCTCTCTGTCTCTTTCGTGTTCAGTTTACTATAATGCCTGAAACTGCTTTTATCCTTTATTAACAATTCACTTGGATCACAAAAAAGAAAAAGTATGATGGCAACACGTGTACAAATACGTCTGATACAACTGATGTATGGATTGTAATAAGAGTTGCAAGAGCCCACAATAAAATGATCTTTTAATTAAAAAAAAAAAAAAAAGGTATAGCCTGAAAAGCCCACAGGGGAAGTTCTATCCTGTCTTCTAGGGTCGCTCTGAGTCGGCATCGACTGGGTGGCAGGAAGTTTGGGGTTTCTTGTTTCTATGTCCTCCGGGTAGGTCTGTACATTTCCTAAGCGGTGTTCCCATCTCTCTAACCTTTCCCTGGAGAATTCTGAGCTCTCTGATTTAGAACAAGTCAAAATGACAGTTTTAGCATCCTCACGTTCCCTTTAAATGGTGAGGAACCAAATGAAAGCTGAGGAGGCAGAATCAAGGCTGTAGGGTGGGTGCGGCGAGGCTTCCCATGGGAATTCTGGTACGACAGGCCTTGCGAGCCCTCAAATGGAGTAGATGCAGTCCTGATGGGAGAACATTCCTCAGTACAATTTTCCTGGCCTTTTTCTCACCAGTGCAGTTTTCAGTTTTCTTCAACTTCTTCCTATTAAGCCCCTGTGATCATCCTGTGACCTTCAAATCCCAAAAAAATCGCTTTACAACCTTCTGTCTTGAATGTAAGTGGATCACTAGTTATCCCTGGAAGCCACAGCTGTGAATGGACCTTTCTCTTTGGATCCTATTGATAAATTGAGACTCTTCTCACTGGGATTCATTCTATAAAAGAAGTCTTCCACTAGCTTTGAGCTTGCTTAAAAGGTTAAAGGAAGATCAACTCTTTGAGTCAGTTGGGATGTATTATCTATCTTTTCTCATATTGCTGGATTTAACATGCCGATATTTATGAGGAATTCCAGTCGACAGATTTCCTTTCCTTGTAATGTCTTTTTCCTGATTTTAGCTAACTTCTTCCATTTTCTGGAAGAGACTGTGTATAATTGGCATTATTTCTCTCAATGTTTGGTCGGATTCACCAGCAAGTCATGTAGGCCTAGAGATTTTTTTTAAATCACTGTACTGGGGGCTCATCCAACTCATCACAATCCATCCATCCATCCATTGTATGAAGCATATTTGTACATTTGTTGCCATCATCATTCTCAAAACATTTGCTTTCTACTTGAGCCCTTGATATCAGCTCATTTTCCCCCCTCCCTCTTCACATCCTCCTCCCTCATGAACCCTTGATAATTTATAAATTATTATTGTCAGGCCTAGAGATTTCTTTGTTGGAATATTTTTCACTGAATTCGATTTCTTTGAGATACAGGGCCATTCAGGTTACCTATTTCTTCTAGAGCAGTGTTGGTAAACAGTGGCACGGCTGACATGTGAGGCGAGGTCATTTTTATGAGTTATAGGGTGCTTCACAGCATGCCTGGCTTCTACCCAATTAATGCCAGTAGCAGCCTTCCCTTCCCACTCCCAAACTGTTACAACCCAAAACTTCTCCAGGCACAGCCAAATGTCCCGAGGGGTAAAATCACCTCCAATTAAGAACCACTTTCCTAAGTGAGCCTTGGTAGTTTGTGTCCTTCAAGGAATTAGTCCCTGTCATCTAAGTTCGTGAATTTATGAGCACAAGGTTGTTCATAATAGTCCCTAATTACCCTTTGGACTGCTAATTAAAAGGTCAGCAATTCAAAACTACCAGCCACTCCCATACACATGTATAGCCTTGGAAACCCTCGTGGGGTCTCGATGAGTTGGAATTGGCTCCATGGCAGTGGATTTGGTCCCTTTTAATATCTTTTTAGGGCCTGAGATGCTGGTCCCAATTTCTTCCCTGATGTTGGTAATTTGTACCCTCCATCTTTTTGTCTTGGCTAGAAGTCTATCGAGTTTATTGGTCTTTGTGACTTGCTTCCTCTGTTAGGTGCCCTGGTGGCATAGTGGTCGTGCAGCTGGAAACCACCAGCCAGTCCTCAGAGGAGGAGGGCGCTTTCCATTTCTAAAAGAGC